ATCTCTTCTCTGATACAGCTTTCATAGTCTCACATGGGTTTCATAGATTTGCGGTGAAAGAAACTGTTTCTCTTCTCGGTAAACACACAAAATTAAGAAAAAGAAAATCATATGAATAAACTGACCTCTTGTGTCTTGTCCGAAAAGTCTTAACGGAAGAAGAAGCAGAGAAGAAATGTTTTCTCGAATTATCTGCTTTTATTTTTGTTGTTTGCTTGGTGGGTGCTTCAGCTTAACGCATTAAAAGCGAATATCTAAAACATAGAGATAGAGGTCAAACATTGATCCCAAAAAAAAAAAAAGAGATAGAGGTCAAACGAAAGAGATCAATCATATAGGAGACGCCATGAAAATGCCATAAATTGCAGTTAAAAAAAAAATCACTATATTTATTATATTATCAGATAAATATATTCATTTCATTAATTGTTTGTATGTAAGACCATCATTAACAATAATACAATACGGATATCATTAAATATAAAATTATTAAAATACTTTTTTTTCTTTTTACTTAACTTTATATCTTCTCTTTCATTCTTTTACTCAACTTTTATTAATTTTATATTCTTTTTAAATATAAAATTATTAAAAACACATTCTTTCTCTCTTCAAAAGTATCAACTATTTGATATTTTTGATACTCTTTCTCCAAAAATATCTACTATCTCTTCTCTTTACTCAAATTTTATTAATTTTATATTTCAATATCTCATTATTTCAACAAAAAACGTTCTCTTTCTTCCTTTTATTCAAATTTTAATAATTTTATATTTAATGATACTTACGTTGTATCATTATTAATCATGCTCTAAACAACGAAAATGACACTGTAGTGGCGGCTATCTTTTTTTTTTTCTTGCCTGGAATGGTTTTTTTTTTTTTTTAAAAACTCAATTTAGAAAAGTATCTATATATGGGAATAATATTAGTACATTTAAACTCTTTGATTCGTTGACGTACAAACAGAAACTCTTTATTCATTAACTACATACTTTAGTACCCTAATTAAAAGTTTATAGTCAAATTTATTCAGAAATATACCTAAGTCGAAAATTTTTTATATAAAAAAGTTCCTATAGATTTTTTCTTCATAGAGAGTAGATGTGATGTGATGTGACGTAATGCAAGTAGAGAAAACAGATAGAGAAATTAATTTTTTTTTTTAAAGATAGTTTTCACATGTACAAATAG